ATGAATGGATTTCCATGAAAGAGAATGCCCATTATCCTAGCATGGTATACTTGTCACACAAGCACCTGTTATTTGCCTAACAGAACGCTCACCCTCAAGCTCACTGTCACCCTCTGAGCTCCTGTTACAATGTCGGCAGCGTTAGAGCATTTCAAACTGCTAAAAAGGTAGCAGCACCAAAGCTAGATTATTGACTGCAGAAGGTGGAGCATTTTCTGCACTGAGATACTTAGTATCAAGTAAGAAATTGTTGCCATGGTTTGAGAAAACCATTTCTGAATGGGAAACCTGTATTTTAGAATGCCAAGTAAACAAATAAAGAGTCCACGGAAGTAAAGATGATGTCTGTCCTCCCCACCTGCATAGCCTCAGTGCCCTGCACAGTTTGGACGCAAACCAGTTAAGGGTTAACAAAATGACTGAATGAGTAAACACAAGGCCAGCACCTTTTTGTTCCTTCTGTAATGCAACATTCTTACTTCAAGGAGGGAGAGAAACATCTGAACTCTACATTGGAGGGACAGGGCAGAGGAGGCAGAACCTTTCACAGTTCACATTGAAAGTTATTCCTGGAGGGTACCCCTAAGACAATACCAAAGGTGGGGCGCCTGGGTGGCTCAGTCAGTTAATGGTCTGCCTTCAGCTCAGGTGGTGATCCCAGGGTCCTGGGGTCGGGCTCCTTGCTCATCAGGGAGCCTGTTTCTCCCTCTCCCTCTGCCCATTACCCCTGTGCTCATTATCTTTCTCTCTCAAAAAATAAATAAAATCTTAAAAAAAAAGACAATACCAAATGTAACTGATTTTTTTTGTCCACACAAATAAGTTGGAACTCTACTTTAAAAACCTCACTTAGGTCAAGATTTCAATTCACCATCTACTTTAGAGATCTCTCTCTCTCTCTCTCTCCAACCTGCTAACTTGACAAGACTGAGTTTCCCTTCCTAGTTCAATTTCTAGAACTAGGTGCATGGACTTCAGGGAGTGGAATGGTCTAACAACCAGCAGCAAAGCAGAACAACGTCAAGCTTTGATTTACAGAATAGCTTAAATTAAAATAAATTTATAAAGTGAGCATAACGCTTCAATAGAATGATGAGAGAACAACTATTTAGGCTCAAGACGACGTGAGACAATTTCCACTGTTTTGCATTATATAGAAAAATATGTCTGGGATGGCATGTCAACAAAGTATGAAAAGTCACATGAAACAGAGACGCCATAGCAAGGAATTTCAATTCCACATTTATTGGACATATTTACTGTATCACTCACATTGTATAACAACTCATGCATAATTCGGATGAGTTGTTATTGCCTTTATAGCAGCCTTTTAAATTGATGTGCTTGCCTTCAAATGACATTGATAGTGTGTCAGTCACCTTTGAAGGCTAGGAGCGGGGGCAATGGGATCCCTTGCAAAACCGAGGACGAGCTTAATGAAGCATCTTCAGCCAAGTCTTCTTCATCTTTGCCACAGAGATGTCTGCTTGGGAAATACCCTCCTCCCTTTCAAAGCTCATTTCCATATGAAGAGTGCTATTCCCCAACTGCTTCTTGCCACTCATTCCCCCGCCTGTGTGAATTTCGCTCCTGGTCCAACCCCAGCACGACATCAGTTAATAAGCATTCCCGAAGGGATCCTCCCTGCTCAGTGTGTTCTGTAACTCCACAAGGAAAAGGGAAAACGGCTCTGCCTTCCTTTCAAGCTGAGGGACAGCTGAATTACCATCACCCTGACACCGGAGAACAGGACTTCAAACCGTGGGGTGGCTTTTGAGAAATACTTTCCCAACTAAAGACTTCATTTAATCCAGCAGCTTCTGAGTCATAAGCAAACACCTTCGGATATGTGAACAACCGGAAGTAAGTCTATTAGGGGACAGGCCTGTCCTACTGCTGATGGGAACAGACAGGCTGGAGGTGAGTTATTCCCCACTGAGACCCTGCAGGAAAAAATCCAGCTGATACATGGCAAAAATGAATCCAAACATTTTTCACTGCATCGTTTGCGATGCTCACAAAGAAGTATCTTGCAACGCACTGGCTATTTTTGTAGTCCTATGGCTCTCGCATTAAAGATACACACACACACACACACACACACACACGTCCATTTAAATGAACGTCTTTTTTTTTGCCGCTTGTCAAAGTGCTTGCAACACTTGTGTGAACAAGGTGTGTGAACAAGGTGGCGGTAATTATCCATGCCACAAATCACATATGTGCTTGTAGCTTGAGGCAGATCCTTGTGCCAAGGAAAATGGCACTGAGTGATGTTCCATTTAAAAGTTTTGTATTTTAATTTTTTAAATGAGTCAAAAGCACACATGAAATTTAAAATGACGTGTCACCCTTGCATCTTGGTCTAAAGCAAAGTGCTGTTATTGCGAGGGTAACTTCTTGTTATGTGACGCTGCCTGACAACAGAAAGTACTTTTATCAGGAGCCTAGACAGTCACAGCCCAAACTCACAGAAATATGGATTTAAAAATCTACAGATCCAAATTCCCACCAAATTGGAAGACTGAACCGAAAGGCCTTAAACCTTCGTGACTTGCAGAAATGGGGGTGGGGGGACAGGCAGAGTGTCACCACCAGGCAAATAGCGAATTCTGATCCGGGCTAAGGTAAAAATACAGAAGACAGTTATTCCAGATTAATCAGGAGAGAAATCTGTACCTTCAGGGAATGACATTAATGAGACTCTGAGGAAACAAAGGTAAAATCTCTAAATATCTTGAACAGCTTCAATAAGAACATTTGCATTTAAAACAAAGGAAGAATTCATTATGTGCAGACCAAGGCAGATAACAGATAATGCGTCCTTGGATAGAAAAGTAACAGCCAGAACTTTTAAATGGTAGTGTTTGTTTGTTTGTTTGAGCTGAAAAACAATTCAGTATTTCTCAGGAAACTGTATTCTTCTAAATCATATGTTCTAAATACCAACCATAATAACTTTAACATCTTTATTAAGCAGATCTCTTGAAAAGCCTAAAAAAAGAAATTTCTACTGAGCAACAGTAGACCAGAATTATAAACAGGCGAGAAATGTTATTTTTTTAACTCAAAAGAACACGGTAACCTTTTTGTCTAATTCCACAGCAGTAATCAACCTCTAAGACAGATAACTCACCAGATTTGTAAATCTATATTTCTACCAAAGGAAGAAAAAATTCTCACTATATGGGAAAACTTCTGGGAACTGGCTTAAAATTTATTTTAAAACACTTCACTCACACAACATTGTGGCTTCAAAGGTCTAAAGGACTTGCCTTTGGTTATTTCCAAGTCTCATTTTTAAGAAAATAGTTTCTGTCTTTGATTTCTTCGCACTCGTACCACTGTGTGTGATTGGTGGGATTCTTGGAAAGCAAACAGACTAGACGGGACAGAACTTGGGAAGGCAACGAGAAGCATCCTGGATACTTCCCGAGACATGCGGCAGCTACTCTCAAGAAGAATTTCAACTTGTTCAACCTTTATTTTGTAAACCTACTGAGCAGATATAGGAAACAAGGCCACAGAAAGTCAGGTGGGTGGCAAGTGGTAAGAAATTAAACAGAGACGGGCTTTTGCAATATTCTGCACGTTAGCCAGGGAGGAAGGTGGTATGCCTCTGGTCTGTTTTCTAAAAAAAATGTCATGGTTTAGAGCTGATCTAGCTAATCAACAGTAGCCGCTAGCCACATGTGGCTAAGGAAATCTTAATTAATTGAAATGAAAAATTCACGTTCTCGGCAGCACTAGCCACAGCTCAAGTGCATGACAGCTGCGTGTGGCCAGGGGCTGCTGTTTCGGACAGTGTGGATGTGGACCGTGGTCACTGTGGGAGCTGTGGCTGGACAGCGCTGCTCCAGAGGATGAAGTAAAGAGAGAGACAAAGTACAAGGAGTGACCTCAGGGACCACGGAAGTACGTCCAGAAAGCGGGCAATCATCTTGCTATTTAGAATGATAAGAATTTCTTTTAGAGCATGGAAAAACTCACATGAATATCCTAAAAGTTTTTAATTTAACTAAAATGTGTGGGGTACTGATTATGCCCAAAGGTGCCACGTGCTTTACGTGCATCAGTCTCATTTAATCTTCGTAAGAGTAGTACGAGGTAGGCAATATTATAATCCCCATCTTACCGATAGCAAAGGAGGCTTAGAGGGAGCACGCACATGACCCAAGATCACACAGCTAAGGCGGGGATTCCAAGCCAGAGGTTGGAAGGTGGCCTGTAGGAAGTCCTTTTGAGCTGGAGTGAGAAGGCACACCGGCTACACTACCAGGCACTCTGCTGCACAATGGTGGTCCACAGCCCACACGGATGGCTTGCTCTTTATTAGCCTTCTTTCCCTCTGGGCCTAATATATTCTTGATGTCCAGTGTGATTATTTTCTATTAACAATGGAACACTACCGCCCACTAATGCCATTCTCTTCCTATCCTCTATCCGTCCACCTCTGAGCTTCTTTGCATAGGGTTCTTGGGACAGCTTACGACAATGTCCTGAACCAGTTCAACCTGAATGAAGTAGTCACATCACAGAGTCTATTTGATGTCCCACCCCTCCTTCAGACATACAGTACTGATCTCTTACATATCCTGTTAAGAATCAATGACTTCACGCTATAGAAAGGAATTCTAGTGATGCAGAGTATTTCACTTGCTAAGGACTGAGCGATGATAAAGAATATTTCCTCTTAAACATGGGTTCTCAGTGGTCCAGGTGAATCAGGCAGGTGCTCTGCTCCTTAGTTTGTAATATCTCAGCCTTTACGTGGGCAATGTCCCTGGAAATTGTTTAGAAAATTATAACTGATCGTTTATTACACACTAATAACTTTTTTAAAGCTCTTTTTCAATTGCTCCAATGCTCGACATCCAAACGACTTTGGCTGAAGACACACCCGACTACATCCTCTACGGATCCTACAGGAGCAGCCGGGACAGCACCTGCTACAGAGGCCAAGGAAGGGCCAGCCCTGCTTAGGGCCTCACGTGCCTTACCTCCGGGGTGAGCCATCATCGTGGGGCTGGATGATGACTACCTTCACGGTCACGGAAGTCCGGAGCAGGTCGATCATCTGCTCGTGGGTCAGAGTGGCCACGGCCACTTTGCAGATCTCCACGAGGCGGCTCCCTTGGCGAAGGCCAGCCTTCCAGGCAAAGCCAAAAGGTTCCACGTCTGCAACGATTCCTTCAAAATTCACGTGGAAGCCAAGCTGGCCCAGCCCATTCCTCCTCAGGGTCATTTCCATGGTCTCGCAGCCTCGAGTCACTATCTGAGGGGAAAGAGACCATGAGACGCTGCTGTGGAGCCCCCTACCCCACCCCTGCAAGGTAGAGGCACGCACATAGACCTCCCAGCCCTGCCTGCCAACCTACCAGGTGACATGCTAAAGCACATTACAATGCTGAGTTCACCATAATCAGCTGTTCCAGATGGACTGTAGTGATGGGAAAATGTAGTCTCTTTCGAAACCATGACGTTTCATCCATTAAACATTAAAAGCTACTCAATTTCATCCAACTTAAAAAATGGCCCAAACCCCTTCCCAGCTAACACTCAGAGGGTCACCCCCAGGAGGGGTAGCCACAGAAGTCAGGATGTTAGGAGATGTGCAAGTGTTCTCTGCACCGGACGTACCACTCTGTCCTCCGGGAAGCCCCCTCGGGGCTTGCCTGAGAGATGAGCACCATTTGGACCTGCTCGTCTGGGTGACGAGGACAATTTGGCTTAAACGTGGGCAGGCCTGCCAGGCTCCCAGGCTCCCTGGCATCTGCTGACAAGGTTAGTGTGCAGGATGGCGCTCTTGCAGGCAGCAGAGACACCCCCCCCGTGCCTGGGGGCCACCTCTCCTTCATGGGGTCCATCCTTTGGGGGCCTAGGACAACCCCAAGCAGTGGCGCTTCAGTGCTCTGACCTTCCCCAAGAGTGTGAGCTACAGCAGTGTCACAAAAAGGAATGTGGACGCAAGGTTGGTCAGCATCCCACACAGCACACCGAGGCACCGATCATTAGTTAATGCCATCCTCAAAAGCGTTCACTGAGAGTAACTTACACGCACTGAGAGAAAACCACAGGCCATTAAATGTCACCTGATGACTACAGCATCACTTATTTGTGGGAAATTTAAAGTCGGGACGTATCATACCCGTATCCCCCAAAGCACAGAGCTAATGGATAAAGTTGCAGTTTAATAAATGCTCCATTTCCATGAAACACACTCTGAATACCCAGATTCCTATTTAATAAGACCTATGAGTGTAAGTGCAGCTGTGGGACTGGGCTGGTTCTGTGTATGTCCACTGTGTCTGTTTCCATGGTTACCCACACAGGTACACACAATCGCCCACCAACTTCCCACAGATACATGATAGCTGGGGGCTCAGGAAAATGGGACAAGGCACTGCTGGTCTTCGCGGTGAGATTTTGAAAGACCAAAGCTTGCAAAGTTATGAACCGAACTAACTGGAAATTGTTGGAAAAGTAGTTTTGTAAAATGTACACCGTGAATAAAATTTTCCTTCACTTCTTTTTCAATTTTGTTTTGACTATGCTTTCCTACCAAAAGCCTACATATGTGTGACATATGCCCTGCCTTCTTTCAAATATTAATGCAATTTTCAGATGAGATTTAGCGTCCACGTATCAGACTGAAGAGTGATCAAGCCTTTCCTGAGACCTACGTGTCTCTTCTCCTTATTTCTTCCAACTACCTGCTACCTGTCCTACTTTTGCTTTTTGCTATTTATTTATCACTTCTGTTCCTCGCTTCTTAACATTTGCAAAGGGTAAAGGATCAGTTATTTGGAGTTCCTTACATACTCACATGGACTCAATTACCATAGGAAAATGGGGGCTTCCTATCCATGTCCCTACCCAGGACTGGCCATATAATTGGTGGGGCCCAGTGCAAAATCAAAATGCAGGGCTCCTGGGTCAAAGACTATTTAGAATTTCAAGACAGTAACAGCAGAGCACTCAACCAAGCATGGGCTCTTCCGACAGTGGGCCCCAGAGAATGGGTCACGGGTTGCACACGAATGAAGCGGGCCCTGCCTGTCCCCTTAGGTGTCAGCTCTCATTCCTTCCTGGGTCTGTACCTGCATAACTGACACCGTTAATTTCAGTTTCCACCATGATAAAAGGCACACTGAATCTACCACCTGCCAAAGAGCACTCATTCCCCATATCGGCACTATGAATTCGAGATCCTCTTTGCTAATGCCCTGTACCAACCTTATGTTCTAATCCCTCAACGGTCTGTGGGTTGGTTTGTTTCCAAAATCTCCTGCTGCAAGTCATCCTAGACACACAATACATTTCCTCAAACATGTTCCAGACATCAGGCACCTCCGTCAACATTAGCCACACCACTGCTTTTCTAGGAAAATGGTAGAATGGGGTCCACAAAACAGCAAATGGGTAAGGACCTATGAAATGTGCATGTTGGTGGTTGGTGAAGTGGCATTTGTTTGTGTTGTATTTTCAGGAGCACAGATTACGATGACCCAGTGGATCTCCTAAAAAGAGGTATTTATGGTATTACCAAAAGCACGGTGTATCTCAAGACTCACAAGGATAACTCAGTTCTCCAGGCACATAAACTAATCACATACTTAATCATCCCCAAATCACATCTATGTTTGTGCACATATACCCGATAATACTGTTAAACACACTGAGGTGTGTTCCTGTAAATAGTGTCTACAAATAATTAAATTATTTCTCCAAGGCTAGCAGACACTGACTTCATTGTATTGTCTCTAATACATCGTCTGAATAACAAAGGGGAGGTTTATATTTGGTGGGAGGAAAGGGGACAGGAAATGGGTATGAACTCTCCTTTTTTCATGATTCGTAATTGACTAAATCTTTTCTAAAAACTGAAATACACATCCCCTTGGGGGGAAGATTTAAACATGAGAAATTCTTTTGTCACAGCACGTTTGGGTTCTTATACTATATTTGATTTATCCTTATAGCTGGTTTGACAGACTCAAACTAAAATCTGGATCTTTCTGTGTGAAAATCAGGAGCAGAAATATTAACTGTTACACTCCGTGGACATCATTTAGGGGTTCTGTACTAAAAACAACATTTAAAAAAAATCTCTTTCAGGACAGATTTTTTTTTTTTAAGGTCTAGCTTAATGGGTAATTCTATAAAACCTCCTTAAGAAACTGTGGCTGGAGAGTAATAATATATTTAATCTGGCAGACTAAAGAAAAATACCTGCTATATAAACACGCACAGAATTGAAGTTGCAAAGAAGACACAGTCATTCATAGGGTCAACAGCAACTGTGTGCCCATTTCTCCCAACTGAGAGGGTCCTGTCATGTCCGTCTCCACACACAGACATAATATCTAGACAATTCTCCATTTTTTTCTTTCGGATATGCGATTAAAATACATCCTCATGTTCCCTTTTGGAAGGTGGTTTAACTTTTCCTTTCCAAACAGTTAGTAACAGGTGCATCTCCATGACTCACATATTTAGCAACTGCTCAAAAGGACACAGAATTTAGTTAAGCCCTGTAGCCATATAAAACAGTAATGCATTCCTGAGGTGCCATAAACATGGTGGAATTTCCACAGTGGAAGCCATCATGAATCTGGGATTGAAGATCTAAGGATGGTGGAAACACAAAACCTGTACTTACTCCTAATCGCTGGACAATTTCCCTGATGTCTTCAGCACAATTATCCACGGAGGACAGAAGGATACACTCCCCTCTCTCGTAAAACACTTTGATACTCATTAATCCAGACGTCCACCCGATGACGTCCCTGCAGGAACAGTTAAATACAACGTTCTTGGAATCCTTTTCAATCAACATTATGAACTCATTGGAAATCCCAAGAAGACACTCAATGTCAGCAGACTGGCCGAAGTCCCGAGCTATTACGTGCCACATGATTGCTCCGACGCTGAACAGATGGGCATCCTTCCTTGGCTTCACTTTCTCCTTCTTCTTTGCACCCAGTGTAATGAAACTGAATTTCACAGAGGTATCCACAGTGGCAGTTGTGACAAAGTTCTCCGCCAGATCCTTCAAGTACTCTTGCCTCGTTCGAGTGGCCATGGCTCGAAACTTCTCTGACTTATGGGCTGCGTTTTCTGCATTGATCACTTTGGCTAAGAGGAAGTCCCGAAATACTGCTGACTTTGGAAAAGTTACTCCTTTGGGAATTGGTGGACCAAATGGTGGTACATCTTTTGATCTAGAAACTCCAACACTGAGAAAGAAAAGAAAAAAGGAAATAAGATGAGTTGTAATACCATGTTTACCTTCAGAAATCTGATATATACCTATACTCTCAACTTATGCCATCTATTTTGTAGCTTTTTGTCATACTTATTTCTGGATACCCAGTGGTTGGTTGGTTGGTTGGTTGTTTTTCAAACTGATTAGATGGGCTGGTACTCTAACCCTGCAGCTGGTCATCACTGGGAAAGACAGTGACACTTTGAACGGAAGTGAGGTTATTAGCCCCAGGTGGCTGCTTGGGACCTCACTGGTACTGGACACCATGTTCACACTTCACAGGGCCAAAAGTTTTAAGTGTCCCATTTTTTTCAGGAAATGCTCACTTGGTCACATTTTGGGAAATCTCAGTGGAAGTTTTATGGGAGTCAAATTTTAAGAGATTCCAGGGACTGAAAAGATCAAGCATAGAGTGACAGTAACAACCACCTCAATATGTCAAAACCAACAATGCTCCCCTACATCAGGCAGAAGGTGTGGTTGTCTCAAACCCTCCTTGGAATGAGATCAACTATGAAGGCTGAATTAATGATAATAAATCAAGGACTGGACTGAGACAATGATGAATCCCAGAGCATCTACAGCATCTACTCCCCAGTGACTGAGTAGCCACTGAGAAACCAAGAGTCAGTACTAATCCCACGTCTCCCCAGGCTGGTGTTTTCTACACTGGAATAAACAAAGGAAGCGATCTATACTTCATCTTCATCAGAAAATCTTGAACGTGGTGAACTAAGGGATGAAACAATTCTGTCCAAATTTGTTGTTGGGCGTGAGCTCCTCTTCCAGAAAGTGGCTGGTTAGACTCTTAAAAAGATCGCGGTCTCCAGCCCTCTCTGACCTTTGCTTTAATGTGCATACTCTTCAGGAGAGTGAGTCATTTCTGGGGAGCTGGGCAGCATGATGGAAGACTGTCTGCATGGGGCCTTAGCTGGTATGAAAGGGGTGGGAAGGACGGATCCCCTTTGGGATAGAGGCACCTAATTCATTCAGGGATGGTAGCGCGTGCACTAAACCAGACAGTGATGGGGCAGACTCAACTTGTATCCTCAAAGGAAGGCCCTAAAAATACTTCAGAGGCTGAAGTGTTTTGGGACCAAACTCATACTTGACTCATCTTCCTCCTGTTACTATCCTTAGAATGGACATTCCAGACTGGGTAGGAATTAGTTTGTCTTCACATTTTAACTCCCAGAGAGCTGTTGCAAAGCTACCTGCCTGGACTGGTGATGAGGCTAACCACACCTTGTTGCTTTTCCACTATCCCGGTCAGCGAGCTCAGGTGGCCTATCTGTGCACTGGGACCTGCCATCCCACTAAACTCATGTGATCACCTCCCCTAATTTTTTCCCCCCAGTAATGAGCACAGTTTCCTGGAAGACTACCCACAGAAGGCTCAGGAGGCCCAATCTCATTTGACACCTTGCAGGATTACTTTTTTGTACTTAGCTCTATGGATCTCAAGCTACTCTGACTGTGGCTTATATGCACTTAAGCCAAAGCATCAGGGAAAACTTTTTGTATCTAAATATGTTCCAAAAAAGCTCTCACTGTAGAGCTCCAGAGTGGTTAGGGAGAGGTACCTTATAAAAGGGCAATTGCTTTTGTCCCAAATTACTGACCCTAATATCTAACTGGACATTCCCTCCACCATGTACAGTATATTAACTACTGGATCAACTGAAAATCCTGTGTATCTCAGATCCAAGTTGAACAAGAAAAGCAGCCAGAAGTTAGGTCTGGCTATTCCAGGATTACTATGATATTATGGAATGGAGATCAATTAGAGATCTCTGTTTACAGAAGTTTACATGATTCTTTCAAACAGAACTGGGGTCAGAGGAATATTCCTTGGCCAGATTTAGATGATTCCCAATGGGCTGAAACAAGAATGTGTTTCAGAATTCCCTTTTTTTTTTTTTTAAAGATTTTATTTATTTATTTGAGAGAGAGACAGAATGCGTGCACACATGGTGGGGGGAAGGGCAGGAGGAGAGGGATAAGGGAGAATCTCAAGCAGACTTCCCGCAGAGCACAGAGCCTGACGTGGGGCTCGATCTCACAACCCTGAGGTCATGACCTGAGCCGAAATCAAAAGTGGGACGCTTAAGCGACTGAGCCACCCAGGTGCCCCTCAGAATTTATTTTACCGAAATAACTTGATGGCATATCTAAATATAAGACCCTCCACTGAAAACCGTAACACAAAGATGAACACTCCCTGATATGCAAGTTAAAGGGTTTTGGGAGAGCGAAGAGGTGATGAGCAGATGCCCTGCCCTGTTTGGGATTCTAGCTCCACCTCCTGCTGAGAGGCTCCGAGCTAGCCGCAACTTAATCCCTCTGTGCCTCAGTCTCCTCATCTGTAACGTGGAGGTTAGACAGTGCCATTCTCCAAAGGCCATGGTGAGCATGAAACCATGCAGTAGCATGCTAAGCTATCGTTATGCAAACTGCTTTATCATTATTAGTATCACACACAATCATCATCTTCGTCATTGGTCTAACACTATCGTCTAACTTTTGTCAGGATGGACTACGTATTAAATCTTTGAGAAGGGAAGCCATCACTTTCAGCAGATACCACTCACTCTTAATCGACAGTTTCCTACCAAGCCTACACAGCAAACAGTTTACTCATTCGGTTACCACTTCGCAAAGAGTTCATCTTGGAAAGTATACAAATGCATAAATCCCTCAAGGTTAGCTCTGCAATAGCTACTGCTAGTAAAATTAACGCACCCTGTATAAAAGAAGGAGGCAATTAGTTAAGTTTGCTTTTTTAAGATTTCAGACTACAATGCTGGTACTTGGAGCTTTGGGGATGCTGCCTCCTCGTCTCTCTCTAGGCTCAAGGAGACCCAGCCTTACTTCTTGGGAACTCTGCATCCATGGGAGGTGCCTCAGACTACCTCTGGAAGGTGAGAGCATGTGCGTCTAAACTTCTGGACTTGCCAACCATGACAGTTTGTATCGGAGGGGGTCACCTAACCCAACAGGATTTGTGGGGGTTCCCTGAGGTGCATGTGATCCTTCTAGTCTTCTTCAAGATGGATCCACGGGTTAAGACATAGCAATTTAGAAACAGTGGACCTGGAGTATATTTTATCATTTCCTTGCAAATTATTCTAAAGAATTCACTTTGTCATTGGTAGAGCTCCATAGTGGTTTTGAGGAATATCATATGAAAGAGCCATATAAGGTGTTTTTGGAGAATTTGAGCACTGTAACCTTATTCCATGGGATAGAATTAATATGGCTTCGTTAACTGTTATGGAATTGATTTTACAGTATTCAAGATTATTACTGACTTGTTGAGGAATGCTCATGAAGTTTTTAAGTGATCAATACGAAGGTTTATGAGGCACTTCCCAAAATTTGAGGCACTCTACTGACTTTATATTTGAATGTCATTAGCAAATGGTAATTTAGTGATAACAATGTGGTTTCTTAAAAACCAATGATTCCACAGTTGAATGATTTGCATAATGCTATCCTCTATCATAGAAAACAGGACACAGACTCCTTTTTTTATAGGTAAGTTCTACATCTAGTCCAATACTGGTTTCAACATCCCTCCGTAGTAATTTTATTAAAACCAGAAAACCTGAAACCATTATGAAAAGAGACGTTACCGATAACTTTAAGATTTCTGGTGCTCATGAACTGCCTCGTGATATAAGTATAAACTAAAACGGAAAGTAATTAAAAATACCTGATTTGACCTAAAAATAGCAGCCAATAAAGTAACACCAAATTTCATAAAGCCTTAGGCTTAAGTTTCTAATCCATTAGGAAGGTTCATTCAAGATCATCCTTCATAATTACCACTCATCGGGTGAGATCGAAGAATAATCATCCCACTTACCATGTTCGTACCAACATTATCTGTTTTAAACCTATCCTTGCCAGAGAAGAGACGTTATGCTTTTTATAAATATCATTTTTTTAAAGCAGTTCTGAGCATTCAGGCCAGTGGTCTTTTGCCCAGATGTGACTCAGGGAAGGAAAATGCATCAGATGCTCGGGTCAATTTTAGGTCTGTGACATCCGTGTGCCGCACAGTAGGGCTGGGAATGAGCCCATTTGAACAAGCTGTGAGGCAACATTCGGGCTAAGAACGACCAGTTTATAGACTCTGTGTTCCTTTGAGATGGGCTGGGCGTGCGGCGGGGATATAAACCAGCAACATCTAACACACAGACTGGTTTCTCTGCCTTTAGGAGAGCACGCCTCACAGTCTTCCCCGTCGCTCCGTCCCCTCCCAACGCACACACAAGTGCCCCCTATCTGCCCAGGAGGCGGCTGAAATAGCACTTACTGTTTTAGGATGATAAAGGGAAATAACCTTCGGGGAGTGCCAGGGACGCTAATAGGTGTTTCTGCATAATTTCTGCTATTTATTCTACACACTGATGTAGGTTCTCTTATCCTCAACTTTAAGAGAACGGATGAAAGTTTCCAAAAAGTATTAAAGTAACTTGTACAAAGCACCGGGAGCAGCACAGCTGGATTCTAAACCCAGGTCAGACACCCGCCACCCCCTTTTACCCCACAAGGCATATCTTCCAGTGGCAGCCATCTCCTCCGGAAGAGTCTGTGGGGAGGGGCGAGGAAACAGCGAGAAACAGGCTCGGGATTCCGAGGTACACGTACGGCCTTCGGAAATCACCGACGCAAGCATCAACTCTGGTCTCAGGAGCCCTGCGGGAGTGAGTGTTTCCAAGATCTTGGATGAGAAGCAGTGTTTTCCCACTACAGTCATTACTTCTGCTCGGGAAGAACCGAAATGGCCACATACATCAGCCACGTCCGAGGCTGGTTATCAATTAAGCTCTGGTTCCGGCAGCGGCTGGATGCAGGTTTTAAGGGGAAAATTGAGGAAATGCGTAATCTACAATTTTGAACTGCTAGGCATTTCGCTGTTCAAAAGGGGAAGGAGGCAATTATTTCATACAGAGAACAGCTGAGGGAAGACAGTGGAAATATAATTAGAAAAAGAAGAAAAAAAGATAATGATGGGGTTAGAGGTAATAATTGGGAAACACAGATATTTCAGGAGAAGGTGTGCTATTGGAATATACCCGACAGAATGAAAGGCCAGGGGCTGCTGGCTCACCTGTAACACACGTTTTCGGTGCATGGGTTGTGCACTTTGACGATGACAAAGACGTGCTGGAAGTGGGACCGGATGCTTCTTGGAGTGAAAGGAAGTGCTCCGGGCTCTTGGAAGACAATGGTCACAATGTCATTTCCGATATGCCTTTTCCTCAGAAGCTGCGGTCAGGAAAGAGAACACACACAGAGTTACAAATGCGGTTTTCCGTAAAGACAAAATATGGCAACGTATACAACCTGCTCCTCTGTCCGCTGTAAAGGACTGATTCAGAAAGCAAGAGCCACTCTCTGAAAGTCAGTGCTCCTCAAAGGGACACGGGAAAAGCAAAATTGGGCTGCGTCCGAAACATATATGGAAAGGCATGCCTAACGCAGTTAATCTCTTGCACTTTAGAATTCAACTCCTTCTCACCTTGAGCTTCTGTACCCTGATAGAATAGAATATTAGCACTCAAAACGTTTTCAGGAATTTTTTTAAAGGTTTTATTTATTTATTTGAGAGAAAAAGAGAGAGAACACAAGCAGGGGGGAGGGGCAGAGGGAGAAGCAGGCTCCCCACTGAGCAGGGAGCCCGATGTGGGGTTCCATCCCAGGACCCTGGGATCATGACCCGAGCCAAAGGCAGACGCTTCACCGACGGAGCCACCCAGGCGCCTCTACCCCTGCGTTCAGGAATTTTATAGTTTAAGCTCTTCAACTTAAAGCAGGGAGACAGAGTGAAAGAGAGGGTACAGGTTTGCTAAAATTCCTACACCAGTGTGTTAGGGCCTTAACCAGTGTCTGGTGCCCCCCCACCAAGGGCTTGTATACAACAGCAACACAGAAAGACTGTTACTTCGGTGGCTAATAGATTCAAACTGATTAACTGAAATCTAGCCTTTCAAAAGTAATTCAGAAACCAGAATTCTACCAGATTAACGGCTGGAAAACTCCATGGTATATAATCTTATACATTACCAAATGTGGCAGAAGACAAGGAACCCCAGAGCAGCAACATTTTAACAGAACTTTCACTTTTCATTCTCCTTTTGCCCAGAACGCTCCCTTCGCCCCAAGTTGCTCCTGGACAACTCAGGGTTCTAACTTAGGTATCTCCTCACCTGGAAGAAACTTCCCTGCAAGCCTACACTGGCAACTCCACACATACACCCAGCTCTACCTCTAGTGCATTAGTTGTAATAGAACTGTGCTAATTGTTGATTTACTTCTCCCACATCGGGTCATCATCTTTGGGAGGGCAGGAGAAAGGTCCTGTTGACTTCTGATTCGTTTTTTTTTTTTTTTTTAAGATTTTATTTATTTATTTGAGAGAGAGAAAGAGAGAAAGGGAACACGAGGGGGGAGGGGCAGAGGGTGAGAGAGAAGCAGACTCCCCACTGAGCAGGAAGCCCTACACGGGGCTCAATCCCAGGACCCAAAGATCATGACCTGCCGAAGACAGACGCTTCACCAACTGAGCCACCCAGGCGCCCCCGATTTCCCTGTTTCTAATGCCCTGCCCAGGACATAGCCAACACCCAGTCCACATTTGCTGAAGGCATAAATGAGTGGTACAGACACAGGATCCCAGCCACATCACGTTGTGCAATAAAACCGCGATTGCACCTCTGAATATATGTCGATAAACCCATACACAAAGCACCCTCTAAGTTGATGCAAGTAAAACCACAGTATCTGTGCTCACAAAGTTTGTGATCTTCAGTTTTAATAGATACAATAATCTTTATAGGAGCTGGTGATGTCACTGCAGGAATGAGATAATCTCAGGTAGTAAATCTCTCTTTACTGGCAATAACAAAGACAACGAGCTGGCTCTTAAATTTATTTGGCACCTACAGAACATACCTCACTGTAGGGAGCATTAAGTTCAACTCTTAAAGCCTTTTTAATCCAGATACAAAAAGGATTTCATTGTCAGGCCCCTGACTTGTGATTTAGCACGATAAAAGGTCTGGGAACTTGGGGATGAAATGTTCCTTCTTCCAGAATTCTCTGATATGCCAGTTAAATCACTGATTCATATGTTGAAAAACTCCCATTTAAATCACCAAGGTTAAAGTCAGACACACAGAAAAGTCGCCTTCCTGTCTGGGTGAAGTTTTGAAACATATATTCATATACATTAATACAGGCCCATTGAGCTATCTGTAGCTTTAAAAATGTTTGCTAAATATTTAAGTTAAAATGTGCCGTTTTGGATGCATGCAAAAAAAAATGAGTAGCAAACGAGGTCCTATACACTGTGTGATTATTTCCCCTTACTACAGTGGACACAGATGATAACCACGAGAAATATTTCATAAAGAAAAGAAAACAGGTGGGGTACCTGGGTGGCTTGGTCGTTAAGCCTCTGCCTTCGGCTCGGGTCGTGATCCCAGGGTCCTGGGATCGATCCCCACATCAGGCTCCCTGCTCGGCAGGAAGCCTGCTTCTCCCTCTCCCACTCCCCCTGCTTGTGTTCCCTCCCTCGCTGTGTCTCTCTCTGTTAAATAAATAAAATCTTTAAAAAAAAAAAAAAAGAAAACGGAAGCAAGGATACATATCTACAACAAACATCAATGGACGAGCTGGAAATTGTACGAGGTTAAGATGTTCTTCCCTCATTTCCACAATCAGTGAAACAGAGGATTCCCAGATACTATAATAGGACAAGGGAAAAATCAGGAGCAAATGAAAAGTTAAAGAAAATGTATCTTAAATACCTGACACTGTGTTTAGCATATCTGTTGAACATGGCACACAACAGCTGACTCTATACATGACTCAGTATCCTTGAAACACAAGAGTTCTCAGATCAACGGGCGGAAGATGGTGCTCACGATGGCCAAGGCCATGCAGTGAATTCTGCAGCCCCTCCTCCTACATGGCCACTGTGTTACACTTCACCTTGGCCGGCCCTCTCAATTACGTGCGTGGGGCAGGCATGAACCCATTGGTCTGTGCTTCCTCACTGTTGAAGGAGCAACGGCAAACTGGACAACTATGCCCATCCGTTTGCTCTTTGTCCAGAAGGAAGACACTGGGTCCAGTCCTACACTTGCCCACCATAGGAATACTGAAAGCACCACTTAAAAAGCTGGTTTTCCCTCAACGACATGTCCCTTTCTAAGCATATTCTTTGGCTTTGCAAAATGGGCCAAAAACTTTTTTAATAGTCTAGTTAATTGAACCAGGGTCACAAAAGGTACTTGGCAAAACAATAAAGTTGCATGGGGCAGGAGGCGCGGGGAAAAAGGAGATTCATTAAGAAGAGCAAAATCTGAAGCTCTTTGTAGGAGAATAAAATAAGAACACTGAACACCTTGTCCATTAATGGGATGCTTGACTTTGTTTAGAGGCTAAAGAAAAATAACATCTGGAAAGTGAACAAATATTTTTCACTGTTTTCCAGGATTTTGCCAAACATTAAATAACCTAAGCAATTTCTCAGACTTCTTATCTAAATGTAAATATTTTCTTTTGTCGTTAGTTACGTGTTTCTTCTAACTGGCCGGTGAAATGCTGTGTCATCAGAGTCCAGAGCGGGAAGGGGAAAGGGTATGGCAGCCCGGCAAGATATGAAGGCGAGCCTCTGGATTACCAAGACACCTCTGGCACTATCTCTTGGGAGAATTAAGGAACAGTGGCTTCTAGTGCTAACTCCTTTCTAGACGTGAAGTTCCTAACACTTTTCAGGGCCAAGAGCACCACTTTCGAGTCTCTGACTGTAAGAACGAGTCAATAGGGGCGCCTGGTGGCTCAGTTGGTTGGGCGACTGCCTTCGGCTCAGGTCATGATCCTGGAGTCCCGGGATCGAGTCCTGCATCGGGCTCCCTGCTCAGCGGGGAGTCTGCTTCTCCCTCTGACCCTCTTCCCTCTTGTGCTCTCTCATTCTCTCTCTCAAATAAATAAATAAAATCTTTAAAAAAAAAGAATGAGTCAATAAATACTGTTAGATTCACATAGTCCTATGAAATTTCCAATGCTTGATTCAAGCAGCGAAACAGGAATAAGCTCTTGTTACAAGAAAAGTGAAATGTGATTCTTCACCCAACTGCACACAAAAAGCATCCAGATGCGACAGAAACAGCAACCTTCGGGTTTATTCTCAATTCCCTAACCAAACTTCAGGGCTTCACAGGACCCGTTTTAACTCGATGCAACAATCAAAAGCAAGTGAAAACGGTCAGGGAGCCACACTTGGATCAGTGGAGACATAAAGTGGAGCTAGGTCAGATCTATTAGCCTCTACATGAACAGGCTCATTTGTTACTTTTTTCTTAGCATAGTAAGGTAAAAAAAGCATTTAGCGCCTCATTCTGGAGGGGAGGCGGGGCAGCCTGCCCGCTATGGAAGAAATACAGGTGGATGTGGTTCACAAGTTTTTAAGAGTCAGAATTAGTGAAGAGAAAGTTTAATTTGAAACTAGAAAAGGCTGATCTCCAGAGAGAGTCTCCTGTCTTAAGAAACAAATATGTAAAAATTTGCATGCTTTCAAAGGGAAAACTGCATCATTTAATGATTATCTTATATATTCTGGAATTCAAAGAGATGAGCCCAGAACTGAGCAAAAAATTAAATGAATCCCCATGAAAACCAATCACAAGTTCTGGATCTTAGTTCTTGGGTTGGACTCTGAAGTCCTGTCGGTAGGAATAGGGTTGACCAAGACTCCTTTGACCTATCCTTCCCACCCCTCCAGACAGACACCTTGTCCCTTCAACAGGCCAGCTATTTCTGCCACAGGCACTTTGCACTTGCTAACCCCCTGCTTGGAAATTTCTCCCCCTCACACAGAGGGCCAGCTTCTCCCCCTTCAGAGACCTTCCTAATTCTGCATGTGTGCACACAACACACACACCACACCCTCATGTAGTCATTACTCGAGACTCAACACCAGGGATTAGAGTTTTGTTTTGATTTTTAAGAGCTATCTAGAGTTTCCTGCGGAAAGTAGAAATGTGAACGGAGATCAGGAGTCTAATAAGAACGAGAGGGAAACCTACACACATGACCACATAAATTCATAAGGGAAAGGCAAGGGAAAGCCTTGCCTACCCACTCCCCACAAAAAAAGTGAAAGCTAGGTTAAGTGCTCTCATCTCGGATCAGCAAGATCATACTAAATTTAACTGCCATCTCAAGGATTCATTGTGGACTTACTTTATATAACCAATATAAAAATACTATGTAAAATATTTAATATAAAACATGTATTTTTCCAATGGGAAGCATAAATGTACAAAAACCAGTTAAGCAAGCAAGGGTGAGTTTTCTGCAAATGGAGAAATAGAAATAAATCAAGAATGTAGACTTTTAATGATTTAATAACAAAGTGAAGATAAGAGGATTATGGAGATACAAGTATTTCTGATATCCGGCAGGACCAACCCTATTGTAAGCAATCACGCTTATTATCCTGTATAAGTACACATTCCTATTTAGGGCCTGGGGATAAATCTAATCATGGGAAGCTGAATAAGCATTTTATTCTTCCAAAATATTCCATATTATTATTTATAGGTGAACCCAAGCGCAGTCAGGACCTGCTCATACAGCACTTAATGAGGTAGATTCCTCCTGTATACGAATGGTTTCTTAGCACTTCCAATTAGGGACACACAGAAGTGCACAAACCCCTTAAGACAGGTTGGCCATCTATCCAAATTACATAGAGAAAGGGTTCCAGCCTGGCTCAAAGCTAACAAGCTGTGTCTCCATTACCTCTGTAGAGGTCAAGTCTGGCCCTAGGCTAATACCAGTATTCTTCAAACAGAATCTCAGAGACCTAGAGGTTTAGCCTTATTCCTTAGGCACCTCTTGGGGGCTTGGACACCCCTTTCAAATAGAGCAGCTCTAACTTTATGCTTGCACTTAAAAAAATCATAATTTACTGTGTGCCAGTCACCATGCTACCTTTATCCATTTTATATACTTAGACTGAAGAAAAGGTCTCTCTGCCCACATGAAGTCTAAAGCGAATTTGTGGCATTCTCCCACTGATAACATCCCATGATGGCTGCTCTATGATTCGTCTACGGGACAAGCAGAGGGGAAGCACACAGGGGAGACAGCCCTGGGAAACGGGATCCGGCTTCCAGACTGGCCCAGAGAGACTGATGGGTCTTCAGGGAAGAGAGAAACCACTCCAAGAGTGGGCTCTCTTATCATTTCCTGGGGCTGGCTAGGTTTTCTTTGTAAGAGTCACACATTCCAAACATGGAACTCTTTTGCAACAGTGGTAAACTCTCTAAAGACTTTTAACACGTCTTGGAATCAGTGCTCAGCTTGATTTATTACAAGAACAAACACAAGAAATTATATCTGATGTGGACGAGTCTGGACCAGTTAAATAGTCACAAATACCATGGTGCTAATGAGGCCAAAGTTATAGGCACCATTCATGTACAGGCCAGCTAACTTTGCTAAGTTCTATGGCCTCAAACTTCACTCAGGAGCCCAGGTGGCCATTTCAGACATTTCTACCCCTGGTATTCACATAATCTGTGGGCATGGGTGGGGTGGGTGGGAGATGTCCAAAGGGCCAGTACAACCCGTACCAAATTTGGAGAGTACATGTTCCAAGATTGCACAGTGGCAACATTTATCTACAAACAGACTATTCTGGTAACAACCCAGGATTTGCAAAATATTAAATGCCGAAGTAAAGACAATTTTCTGAATTTATTGATAAATTAGCCCCTTACTTTCTTACCTATCTAGGGCTTAGTTTCTCATCCCAGGGCTCTAGGATTGGGAACAGGAAAATAAAATGCAAATTGAGTCATTTAAAGTGCTTGCGCTTTATATCTAATAAATGATGAAATAGTAACAGAAACTAAAACTTACTGAACACACTCTGTGCCAGGCACCATTGAGTGCCTTATACATATTAGCTCATCTAATTCCAGCCACTGTCTACAAAAGTTTCATTTATTCCTTGAGCAAATGTTTACTGCCTGCCTCCCATGTTCAGGGTAGGGTTCTGGGGGCACAAGGACACCTCGATGAAGAAACGAGATCAAAGTCCCTGCATTCAGGGATAAAGGAAACTAAGGCATAGAAAATTTTGCCCAAGGTCACAAAGCTGGTAGCTGGGATTCAAATCCAGACCATGTGGTTCCAGAATTCTTGCTCTGTTAACAACTACATTTTTCTGTGTAAGCCATTTTTCCACCTAGAAGCACAAAGCCTCAAAGAGGGCTCCAGAATCACAGAAATCAGACACTAAGAGGGGCATGCTGTGCATTGTCTAGTCCAAGTATCATGTATGCCGCATCTACCCACTGCCAAATCTGTAGAAAGTATCTCTAAAATCCAACATTTTTTTCCTCTGAGCTCAGGTGCAGGCCCAGAATCCTTAACACAGTTTTCCAAGTAGCCACTGCTGGCCCTCCGAACCAGGTCCTCATTATATAATTATGTGATTTTTTGAGTGGCTAAGATCTTACCCAAAGGTACAAGGCAAGTGACTGGCTGCGGCAAGTTCAGAAATACGTCCACTGACTCTTACCTCCACTCTTTACCAACCCATTTATATCAGGAACACTTGCCCACATAGTGTTTTGCACATAGATTTCCCAATGGACCATATGGAGGATCATATATATTCCAGACACAATAAGAGCACTCATTAAAAAAGCAAAACAAACGATTTTACAGTTTTCCACCTCTAATCCATCAGCAAAACTTACTCAATGTCATGGATTCTCACTCAAGTTTAAAAAAACAACCAAGAGGTAACCAAGTAAGTCTTTAAGCTAGAGTCTGTAATGTATCAATTTACAGGGTGTGTGTGTGTGTATGTATATATATATATATATATACATATATATATATATGTATATTTAAATTTCCAGTTTGGGAAGCTTAAAACACCCATCCATCCCCCACTCCCCAACCTCCATCCATCCATCTACTTTTTTGTGTGTAGGACTTTAACGATAGTTTCAGTGAAAAAAAAATCAGGTACACAGAACTCATAAACCCATGGATTTTAATCATCATGCAACTGAAAGGAGTCAGGGAAAGCTTGGTTTGAGTTCTGCTAACAGCAAAGCCCAGCAGACATTAGAATTCCAGAGGTTGCCATATGGGAAATGATGGGGGCCAATCCAGTTTGGAGTCCAATGGCTCAAGTAATTAGGGAGTTGGAAGGGCTTTGTGGTTTGAATACTCAATGACTAGGGTCATTGGGCACTGGCTCTACTTCTGCTAAAGTACTGACAGATTTCTTGGCCTGAGTAAAGCCCTATCAGTTTTCTGAGCAACGACTCACACAGAGTTTAATTACTGAATGATTCACAAGTAACTGCTGGACAACTGCACTGGTCTAAATTAAGCTTCTTAATAGTGAGTGAATCTGTTTGGCATTATTCCAAGTAATTTTTTTTTTTAAGAGTTAGAAATCCTTTAGGTTAAAACATATAAATACATACATGTGATCTAGTGATTGTAACTCTACCTCTTAAAAAAGCATACAGATACAGGGGTGCCTGGGTGACTCATATAAGCAACTGCCTTCAGCTCAGGTCATGATCTCAGGGTCCTGGGATTGAGTCTGCATCAGTCTCCCTGCTCAGCGGGAAGTCTGCTTCTCCCTCTGCCCCTCCTCCCTGCTTGTGCTCTCTCTCTCTCTCTCTCAAATAAATAAATAAAAATCTTTAAAAAAAGAAAAAAAAACATACAGATATGGAATCAAAAGCTAGATTTTCTGATGGTAGTGGGAAGAAATCTGATTATTAGAAAACACCGCAGATCATTCAGAAAGGACAAGGGACTGAGCTTAAGCATTAGATAAATGGCCAGAAAATCCAGCTGGCAACGAGAACGAAAAAGGAAAGAGGAGCTGTTCCTACTGTGAAGAGCTGGGCTCATCCAGGCTGGAGGGTCGAAAGCAGTTCTTGCAATTAGTGATGGCGACGGGGCAAGTGGTTTCTTTGCGAAAGGTATATTATGACTACCTTCATTGAATTTCATGAGCATTAAAAAAAAGAGAAGAAAAATTCTCCGTTGTGACTAAGCTTCATTCAACAAATTTTTTTTTTTTTAAGATTTTATTTTATTTGACAGAGAGAGTGCGTGCACAAGCAGGGGAATGGCAGGCAGAGGGAGAGGGAGAAGCAGGCTTCCCACCAAGCAGGGAGCCTGATGCAGGGCTTGATCCCAGGATCATCATGACCTGAGCCGAAGGCAGATGCTTAACAGACTGAGCCACACAGGTGCCCCAAATTCTTTTTCTATTTTTTTTTTAAGAATTTATTTATTTGAGACACAGAGAGAGGGGGCACGTGGGGAGAGAGGGAGTAGACTCCTCACTGAGGGCGGAGCCTGACATGGGGCTCAATCCCAGGATCCTGAGATCATGACCCGAGCTGAAGGCAGTTGCTTATATGAGCCACCCAGGCGCCCCTCATTCAACAAATTCTTACCGAGCAACTGCTATGCAGTCCCTGGTGTGCTAATGTATTTTTATAGCAAAAGAGTGCAATTATATGACATCAGAGCTAAACTTCCTAGATGTGAAAACAAACTTTGTTTTAACTCCTGATTTAACCCAAATATAATCAAATCACTAAAACTGAATCATGCCACGAATAAGTTATGAGATCTATTCTTAGAGTATTTTCTATAAATAAGTTATCTACCCACACTCAGAAACCTGAGCTCAGCTTACCTTGCTGGCTTATTTATAATGAACCCAGTGGACACTGGTTTCCGTTAAGATTTTGCCTAGCAAGCAATAAAGGTGCATGTGGAAGAGTTTCCAAGTTTTATAAGGAAAAAGTGCAATACAACTATGCAAAAATACTCCCTTTTAAAGGCCAACTACTTCCAAATGATGAAAGATTCAAAAATTATTCATGCCATTGGAGGGGAAAAAAACAAAACAAAATACCCCAATGATGCTTTGCCAATTCTGAGTGCCCAAAGCCCATTGGCGGGCTGAGCTCAGATCTAGAATGCGGAGGGAGGACCCACCTGCTGTCTGTTGTTGGGCATGTAGGGCAGCATGGTGGACACATGGAACATGACTTCATAGTCTTTGTATGTGGTGTAGAGGGAGTGAGTTCCTGTAGAATCAGCTGAAAACAGAGGTGGAGGATAAAAACAAGTCAGGCAACTGCAAAAGTTAGCAACATGACACTTACAAGGTCGTTCTTCCAAAGGCAATTCATTCACCGACAACAGACCACCCTACTACCAACCACCAGGATGTCTTGGCGGCCACTCTGCTCTCTTGCCACACACTCTTCCTGCCAATTTCCAACCCACGTCTGTGGCCTGAATGCTCAGGGGTCTCCTCATCTGCTCTCACCCCTGTGCCTCCCCCCTGCCCTTTCCCCAACACGCTAGCATTCACAATACTGACTTCAAGGACCCGCCATGGATGGGGCAGAGCACAGGTGAGCGGAGGACGCCAGGAGCTGGAGGTGCAGCTGGGGGCAGGTGTGGGTGCCGTTATTTGAGGGGTACGAGCTAACTAACAGCTCTCCTTGCCCCGTTCTGTGTGTGTGGGTTTACGGTTGATTCTGAAGTGATTCTTGGGCACCTGATCGTCCAGAACTCAACACCACGACATAGGACTGACTTAACATGGAAATGAGAACAAAAAATGTTCAAGATTTCTTTCCCTGAATGATGTAATTAATTTTCTTCCCTTTGCAGCAGGCAATGCAATGGTGCAGTCAGATGATTAACACGGTAGAGAATGAAAGTGATCTCTTACTGTATACTATGTGCTGACACATGTTTAAAACTGTGACGTCTGAACCCCTCTTAAGCATACAGCTATTCACCTCTGAAAAGCAGAATGATTCTTTGCAAATTCAAAATCCATCTGTATTATCAACAGATTACCACAGACTGAGAGTTTCAGGCACCTGAATCAACACACTTATATAATAATCTTAGGGTGGAGTTTTGAACCACTTTGCACATGGAATAAGACAAAAAGATACATAGAAAGTAAGATGTAAACAGAATTCAGGATCGCCTTTCTAGATCTTTGACCAACACATAAGTTGATTTATCTACTTTTTAAACAAGAAAAAATGCTATTCTAAGGTCATTTAAAACAAAGTTTATTCCATTGTGTTTTTGGGGAAACTCTAAGTAATCATCTGGAGTTAACTTTTTTTTTTTTGAAGTAGGCTCCACGCCCAGCATGGTATGTGGGGCTTGAACTCACAACCCCGAGATCAAGACCTGAGCTGAGCTTAAGAGTCGGACACTTAATTGACTGAGCCACACAAACGCCCCTCATTTTTTAAATCTAAATATTTTAATCTTACTTTAAAAACATTACAACATTTAGCCTTCATGGGCCTTTATTTCTTTCTGAATCCTGCACTTTTTCTTTTGAATAATCATTCTAAATCAGAAATGGTCCTGAATGGGGTGCCTGGGTGGCTCAGTCGGTTAAGCATCTGCCTTTGGGCTCAGGTCATGATCCCGGGGTCCTGGGATCGAGTCCCACATCGGGCTCCCTGTTCGGTGGGAAGCCTGCTTCTTCCTCTCCCACTCCCCCTGCTTGTATTCCTGCTCTCATTATCTCTCTCTCTGTCAAATAAATAAATAAAATCTTAAAAA